AAGATATGGATTATATGAATACTTAGTATGTATTTTGGTTTGACAAATGCTCCAGCTCATTTCATGTATCTGATGAATTCAGTATTCATGCCTGAGCTAGACAAGTTTGTAGTGGTGTTTATTGATGGCATTCTAGTATATTCCAAGAATAAGGAAGAACATGCGGAACATCTCAGAATTATTCTGACCCGCTTGCGAGAACATCAACTATATGCCAAGTTCAGCAAGTGTGATCTTTGGCTGAAGGAAGTATAGTTTCTTGGACATGTCTTGTCAGCTGAAGGAGTTGCTGTTGATCCAAGTAAAGTTAGGGATGTGCTTGATTGGAAACCGCCAACCATAGTTCATCAAGTTTGGAGTTCTCTGGGATTGGCGGGGTATTACCATCGTTTTATTCCAGATTTCTCTAAAGTATCAAAGTATATAACTGAGTTGTTGAAGAACCAAGTCAAGTTTGTCTGGTCATCTGATTATGAAGAGGCATTCCAGACTTTGAAGAAGCTATTGACCACTGCACCAGTATTAGCCCAACCTGATATCGAGAAGTCATTTGATGTTTATTGTGATGCTTCAGGTATTGGTATTGGATGTGTGTTGATGCAAGAAGGCCGAGTCATTGCCTATGCATTCAGGCAACTTAAGCAACATGAAGAACACTACCCGACTCATGATCTGGAGTTAGCAGCTGTGGTCCATGCTTTGAAGATTTGGTGGCATTACCTGCTTGGTAATACGTGCTATATTTATACAGACCACAAGAGTTTAAAGTATATCTTTACTCAGTCAGAATTGAATATGCGACAAAGAAGATGGTTAGAACTGATTAAAGATTACGACTTGGAAGTACATTATCACCCGGGTAAAGCAAATGTGGTTGCAGATGCCCTTTGTCGCAAAAGTTATTGCAATTGCCTGACAGTAAGAACAATGGGTTTGACTTTATGTCAAGATATGGAGAAGTTGAATGTAGAGGTAATTCAACAAGGTAGCTTGACCAACATAATTGTTGAAGCCAATATTCGAGACCAGATTGTTGCTGCTCAGAAGGAAAACAAGGGTGTAGCCCATATCAAGGAAAGAGTCAGGAATGGAAAAACGAAATGCTTCACCATAGATGGTGAAGGCGTGCTTTGGTTCAAGGATCGCCTGGTGGTACCAAAAGTTCCTGAGTTGCGGCAGTTAATTCTTGAAGAGGCACATGCTACTAGGTTATCAATTCATTCGGGAAGCAACAAGATGTACCATGACTTGAAACAAAGATTTTGGTGGACCAAAATGAAGATAGAGATTGCTAGATACATAGCAAAGTGTGATACTTGTCAAAAGGTGAAAGCTATACATTTGAGGTCCGCTAGAGAGTTACAACCATTACCTATTCTAGCTTGGAAGTGGGAGGACATTAGTTTGGACTTTATTGTTGGTCTACCCAAGACATCAAAGGGATTTAACTCAATATGGTTTATTGTAGATCGACTAACCAAGTCAGCACATTTTCTTCCAGTTCAGAATACATATCCCACTATACGGTATGCCAAGATGTATTTAGAGCGAATTGTGAGTTTGCATGGAGTACCAAAGATCATTGTGTCAGATAGGGGTACACAGTTTGTCTCCAGTTTTTGAAGACAATTGCATTCTTCATTGGGAACCAAGCTCCTATATAGTACAGCTTATCATCACAGACTGATGGACAGACGGAAAGAGTCAATCAAATGCTTGAAGATATGTTAAGGTGTTGTGTCCTTAACTATCCCAACAAGTGGGATGAATGCTTACCTTTGACCGAATTCTCATACAATAACAGTTATCAAGAGAGTATTAGGATGGCTCCATTTGAAACACTCTATGGTCGTAGATGCAGAACATCACTGAGTTGGTCTGAACCCGGAGAGAGAAGGTTCTTTGGAGTTGACCTTGTGAAAGAAACAGAAGACAAGGTTAGGCAAATACAAAGTAATCTGAAGCCATTGGTGTTTAACAAGGGGGATTTTGTATATCTGAAGGTATCACTAATGAAGGGAGTTACCTGTTTTGGTGTTAAAGGCAAGTTGGCACCTCGATATATTGGACCATTTCAAATTTTAGAGAGGTATGGAAAAGTGGCATATCGTTTGAAATTACCAGAACATCTCGCAGTTGTGCATGATGTGTTCCATGTTTCTTAATTGAAGAAGTGTCTCCGAGTGCCTGAGCAGAATGTTGAGGTTGAAGGAGTGGAACTTGAACCTGATTTGACCTATTCCGAGTGTCCTATCCGAGTTTTGGATCAGAAAGATCATGTTACTCGAAGGAGGACGATCAAGTTCTACAAGATACAATGGAATCAACATTCAGAAGAAGAAGCTATTTGGGGATCCGAAGATTACTTGTTAGAAAAATTTCTAGAGTTTCTTGCGTCGATATAGAATAATGTTAGTTTGCTCTGTTGTGGCAAACCATGTTTATAAAGGAACCTTAGTTGTTTTATGAACAGATTTTGGATATTTTTGGATTGACACATTTCCTTTTCCATTACTTATCCTATGACTTTGAATCTCTGGACGATATTTCTTTTAGGGGGAAGGATTGTAACACCTCGGGTGTTTAAATACTAAAACTGTCATGTCCTCATATGCATTGCAAAGCATTTGGTCATATTGCAAACTTTGATATGCATTCACTAAAACAAGTTTACATTTATGTTATGAGTGTTGCCTTGTATGGTTTGAATTGAGTTCAAAGTTTTGTTTGGATTTTTAAATTTTTGAAAACCCTGATTTTCAGCATTTAAGTTTGCCCTGGAAAACCCATTTATAAATCTAAGCACATTTTGGGGTTGAGCCTTAAAGCAAAAATGTAGAGCTTGTTGAGTTGTACAAAGTTTGTTTTTAGAGTTTTCAAAGTTGTTTAGAAAAATTTGAAGTAATTTGAAAAGGCGTAATGTACTTAAAGTGTCCCCTTTTGAATTCAAATTTGCATTTAAAAATGTAGACCGAATTTGGGTATGGTTATAAAAGTAAAGTTGTAGAACTTTGAATTTTGAACTACTTTTGTTTTTGGAGATTTTTTAGTTGCTATGTAAATTTGGGAGTAATTTGTGAAATTTGACGAATGGCAATTATGTAAATACGTTGAACAGTAGTCGCGGGCAGCTGTCACCGCCGACGTGCTTCTCCGGGCTTCTAGTCGTGCCTGTGGCCGCCCTTGGCTTCGCGCTAGCGCGGAGACGGCCACGACGTGTCTTCCTCTTGCTTCCTTGGCCGCCCTATAAAGCTCAGACGTCGTCGCCGTTCTTCCTTCTTCTTCCTCTGTTTTCCCGACGCCACCGCCGCTACTCCGGCGAGCCCGCATCGTCGCCGTAGTGCTCCACCATCGCAGCCAAGCCAGTTCCAGCTCCGTCTCCTTCTTGCGCATCCATCCAGCCAGCTTGGGTCGCCTGATTCCACCAGGAACCCGCTGTGTGAACCTTTCTTCCTCGCGGTCGGTAGAGTCACCGGTGATCCCGTTTCACCACGGCCAGCGCTCTTCGGTGAGTCTTGGCTCTTGCTCAGTGTACCTACAGCTTCGTCTTGATGCCGTGGTGCTTAATACCTCATTGCTTGGTTAATTTGTCCATCACAGTCACTGGTTCACCGCCGTCGTCGTTGTTTTCACCGCCGTGACCGCAGTGAACGCCGCCCCGCTTCACCATTGCTGCTCCAGCCTTAATTCCTGCTCGAGCATGTTTGTGGTGAGATGCTAAACCTTTCTGGACCCTTTGTTTAACTGCTACCGAGCTCCTATCGCCGGCGTAGCGCAGCCGTGCCACCGCATCCGCCATTGCTGGCGTCAGGCTTGTTTCGTGTCGTAATTAATCTCCGTAGTGCCACAAATTGATGCGCCTAGTCATGATGAACGTGTTGGTATCTTCACCGTCGCTGTTGGTCTCACCGTCGGTGAGGAAGCGTCGGTCAGCGCCATCGTCGCCGTAGTCAAACGCCGAAGGTTGAAGATGACAGATGGGGACGGCTCGCGCGATGTTTTTGCCACAGACTCTTGACGCAGCAAAGCATTCGATGAACAGCCATAACCTTGTGGCAACTACCAATTGTCCAAAGAGACATAGTTTGACCGGTAAGGAATAGACAAGTCACTATTGGTATGGAGGGAGACATCGCGCGAGCCGTCTTCCTCCTCGCCCGCACCGCCGCCGCCGCCTCTGCCTTCCGTCCTCGCTGGCACCCCTACTTCACCGCCTCCTCCCTCACACATCTATCACCGTCTTCCTTCCCACCACTCGCCACGGCCTTCTTCTTCCCCTCTCCTAGCCGCCGCCATGGCCATGGGCGCGTCGCCCCAACCTGGCCCCGCCGCCTTCTCCGCTGCCTACTTCAACAGCATCACCGCTACCTTCGTCTTGCTGCCGTCTTTCCCGTCCCAACCGTCTGGCCTGCCTGCCTCCCCCAACCTTTTTGTTTTCTAAGCCCGCTGGCGATGGAGAAGAAGAGAGGGAGAGGGCGCAGGTCTGCGATAGCGTAGATGCGCGACTGAGTTGCGTATTTCAGTTTGCGTATTGGTATCACAGAAAGTTAGCTTTTGATGGGATATAATGGATCTATTGACATGATTCAATGAGGAAAGAACTGAATATTATTCAGGTAAAATTATCATTAAATCAGACTGTGCAGTTAATTAGCAGTGGAGCGACATTAGCTCCGTTCGCTTTACTGAAAAAAATAAGCCGAAACACTTCCGACTAATTTGTTATTTGTTGTGAGAGAAAAACACTGTTCCGTCTGAAAAAAAACAAACCGAAAAGTAGGGATTATAAGATTGCTATTGAATTGTTAATTGTTATCATGACGGTTCAACCGAAAGACACTGACTGATCTCCCCAGTCTCCACTCGTCGCTCCGCAGTAGCAAGTATCAACTGGCCTCGGTGGCTCGGCCGCACAAATCCCCCACTCCCCGCGGTCCCCGACGGCCGACGGCAGAGCCACCACACCAGCAGCCCCAGCCATCGAGCAATCGAGCTGCTCCATGGCCTCACCAACCCGAACACCGCCGCCTCCGCCGGCGGTAGAGCCCATCGCGCCTTCTTCTCCTTCTTCAGAACATCCGCCTGTCAAACCCTCCTCCGACGGATCCCTCTCGCCGGAGAATCCAGCGCCAGCTCCACCTCCTCCTCCTGCTACTCCACCTCCTCATACTCCCGGCGATAGCTCTCCTTCCTCAACTCCGCATCCCAAGTCGCCACAGCCTCCTCCACCGCCTCCGCCTCCGCCCAGCGCTGATGCTTCTCCACCCCTCCCGCGACAGGGCCAGACGTCACCGCCGCGCCCACTGCCCCCTCCCTCACCCGCTCCAGTATCACCGCCTACTCCAGCGCCGGCGTCCTCGGAAGCCAAGTCGGAGCAGGAGGCGGCGGAATCGGCTAGCGAATCGGGGAGCATGACGCTAGCCGTCGTTCTAGCCCAAACTGAAGATTCGACGCCGCGAAAGGCCTCCTCGGCGGAGGCGTCCCCAACCGGATCGCCGCAGAAGGAATCGGCCGTCACCATCGCAAAGCTCCTCTCCGGCGAAGACCCCGCGGCGACGGAGGCGAAGGCCACGCCAGACAAGGACAAGGTTACACCTCCGAGCGACACTGGGTCACTCGCCACGGCCGCCGCCGTTACTGCCGTTGGGGGAGTCGGAGGCGGCGTGGGGTCCAAGAGGTGGCTCCTTGGCGGCGTCCCGGAGAAGGTGCGGCGCGCGGAGCTGAGGAGGGCCGAGCTAGGGTTTAGGGTTTCAGCCGCCGTGTTCTGCCTGGTCGCGCTCTCCGTCATGGCCGCCGATACCACGACGGGCTGGTCCGGCGATTCCTTCCGCCGCTACAACGAGTACAGGTTTCCCTCTGGACTCCTAGAACGCTGATCTCAGTTAAAACCTTCTTCATTAGTCACAGCTACCGTTTCTTATTATTGTTGATGGGAGCTGAAAATTGGTGAATTTTGGCGATGTAGGTATGTACTCGCTGCGAGCGTCCTGGTTTTTACCTACTCTGGATTCCAGTTGGTAGCCGAGGTGCATTACCTTGTTACAGGGTGGCACATGATTCGAGCTCCATTCCGCAGCTACTTCAATCTTGCCATGGATCAGGTAAGCATGAGTAAACTGCTATTCTGCTCTTCTGTATTTGTGTGTTGTTGGGAACCATACCATGAATTTATGATAGCACGATTTCACAAGCTTTGAGCCCTAGTGATTTATCGGTGTCAGAAAACTAGATCAAAGTTTATGGCCATTTAATAATTGCAAAACTAAATATAGTTGCACAAATCGGATGAACTATTGCAGCAATTATTTTATTATAAAGAAGTCCTAGATTGTGGATGAACGCTAGGTGGCAATTATCGTTTCCCGACTGGTTTATGTCTATATCATTATTGTTCCTACTGGATTTGGTTTGGTATATGCCTATTTTGTTTAGTTGGTCTAAACATTGTACAGACACATTACAGTGCGTCCTCAGGTGTGAGTAAAAGAGTTGGTTCCATGAATTGACGAATAACACCTTTCCAGTTCCTCCAACTTCAAACATTTGTCACGATAAGGGAACTTTTGAGAAATGAATGAGATTGGTGCAGTGCTTGAGGTTTTGACACATTTATGACTAATAACTATGGACTTTGTGTGCTTATGGATCACCTGATTCCCCACCAAAGTCATGTGTTGTTTAGATGTTCCTTGTACAATGCATGTATATCAATTTGTTCTACATTATATTCTTTCCTTTGGAATTCGCCAGACCATGTTTTCAGCAATGTTTTGCAACAACAACAAACAACAACAACATAGCATTTCAGCCGGGTAGGCTAGAGTTGAAACCCACCAAGAGCCCCAAGTCACGGTTCAGGCACTTCAATAGCTACTTTCTAAGTACTTCTACTCAAACATAGATCTCTAGGTATATCCCAAGCTTTCAAATATCTTTTTATTGCCTACCCCCATGTCAATTTCGGTCTTTCTCTACCTCTCCTCATATTATTAGCTTGGCTTAGGACTCTACAATGCACTGGTGCCTCTGGAGGTCTTCTTTGGACATGGCCAAACCACCTCAACCGATGTTGGATAAACTTTTCTTCAATTGATGCTACCTCTAGGCGATCACGTATATCATCGTTTCGAACTCGGTCTATTCTTGTGTGACCGCAAATCCATTGAAACATACGTATTTCTGCAATACACAGTTGTTGAACATGTCGAATCTTTGTAGGCCAACATTCTGCTCCATACAACATAGCCGGTCTAATCGCCGTTCTATAGAACTTGTCTTTTAGCTTTTGTGGTACTCTCTTGTCACAGAGAATGCCAGAAGCTTGTCGCCACTTGACCCACCATGCTTTGATTCTATGGCTAACGTTCGCATCAATATCTCCATCCCTCTGGAGCATCGATCCCAAATACCGAAAGGTATCCTTCTTAGGCATTACTTGACCTTCCAAACTCACATCTTTCTTCTCCTGTACAACTCCGCCAAAGTCGCATCTCATGTATTCGGTTTTAGTTCTGCTCAATCTAAAACCTTTAGACTCAAGGGTCTGCCGTCATAACTCTAGTTTCCTATTTACTCCTGCCTAGCTTTCGTCCACTAACACTACATCATCAGCGAACAACATACACTAAGGGATATCCCTTGTATGTTCCTGGTAACCTCATCCATTACCAAGGCAAAGAGATACGGGTTTAAGGCTGACCCTTGATGAAGTTTAATTTTAATCGGAAAGTAATCTGTGTTACCATCGTTTGTTCGAACACTAGTCACAACATTGTTGTACATGTTCTTGATGAGGGTCACGTACTTTGATGGGACTTTATGTTTGTCCAAAGACCACCACATAACATTTCTTGGTATCTTGTCATAAGCCTTCTTTAAGTCAATAAAAACCAAGTGGAGGTCATTCTTCTGCTCTCTAAACTGCTCCATAACCTGTCTTATTAAGAAGATTGCTTTTGTGGTTGACCTTCCGGGCAAGAAACCAAATTGGTTTGTTGATATCTACGTCGTTCCTCGCAGGCGCTGCTCGATGACTCTCTCCCATAACTTCATAGTGTGGCTCATCAATTTAATTTTCTGATAATTAGTACAACTTTGGATATCTTCCTTGTTCTTGTAGATTGGTATCAATATG